GGAGGAGACTGGGATGGAAACTCATGTAACACGTACTCAAGGAAATCTGGGTCTGGGTAAATAACTTTTGTTTACTTTGGATAACTCTGTTTGAATGTTAGTCTCCATTGGCTTTTTTGGGTCATCCCATGTAGGCCCTCACATGTTTATTTAGCCAGAGGTTGATCTCAGAGTCTTCCATGTGAAGAAGCACCTGCTGATGGACCTGTAGAGCACAGCACCATTTCCAGATGCTCCAGCATGGTGTTTGCTGAAAGTACTAGCAGAGTTTCAGGCACCTGCTTGAAGCTATCATCAGGGACGCAGTCAATCTTTAGCGAAGCCTCTGATGCAGCCTGGGCTCTGATGGAGTGTACTTGAGTTGCAGAAGCCAGCTTCACCTTCGCAGCCTTGTCATAGGCCTTAATATAGGATCTGCTCTCAGAGAACATCACCAGTGATTTAACCAGAGTTCCTCAAAGATGAGTCAGTGTCAGGTTCAGATCCTAGCGCAGCCCCCTCCACCTCCCCCCCACTTTCCCTGGGGAATAGGTCTTACCTGAACACCTCAAAACATTCACAGGGAGAGAATGGGAAAACACATGGGTGCTGGACAAGGGCTATCGCTAGGTGCGCTTCCATTCAGGTAATGGGTGAACTTGCCTCCTCCTTCTGTCCAAGCAGAGAAAACAGATAACAGAGTTAACACAGAACGAATTTGGCAAAGAGTATTTAGACATTTTCTGACACCAGGACTACTTAGCCATGGCAAGTCCACCTGGTGGAAACCATCTTCTGCTAACCAACACTGGCAGCCAGCCCATGCTGTGAGGTGCCTCACATACCAGCAGACAATATGAGGTGTTTCCTCCAGGGCAGGGCTGAGCCTCGGCTCAAAGTTGGATATCTTTCCTCTTATGATGGACATCAAATTACATATTCCGACCTCCTCCTGCTTTAGCAGAAGCATCTTTCTCTCCAGATCTGCTGTCAGAGCAGATCTGACAGGATATGAGGCTACTGCTGCCTGAACCTGCTCTCTTACTGACTGCAGCTTGGGCCAGAAACTTGGCGACTGTGGAGCCACTGGCTAGCAAACCTTTTGTGGATGCTTAGTTTACTTTTCTTCTTTGAGCTGCTCTCTTCCTTGAAAAGAAAAACAGCAGATCAGTAAGCAGACAACAAAGGCTCAGGTCAGGAAGGGGATGTGAATCACAGAAGAGAATATAGTCATGAGTGGTGAGTCTCCCATGGGCTGGATGGGTAGAACTGAAGGTGGGAGGATTTCATACCACAATTAATATCAATGGGTGGATGGGCTGAAGGGGCTGGGCAAGGGCTTTTCTCTTTGGGTGTTGTAATGGTTAAAAAAAATTCTCCTGGGCACTTGCAGTACATCATCAACTCAAGTCTGAACGGACAGTGGGAACTTAACAAGAAAAGAATTTTTGACGTGATATTTCCAGTTTGTTGTCTGTCTCTTTTTAGTTATAGAACTGTTCCTCGAACTGTTCAACCCCAGCTGAGCCCGTGGCATGCTTCCCTGGGACTCTCTGATGGCTGCAGTGACATGCCTACCTGTAATGCTGCTGCTGTAACACTCTGCGGAGACCGAGTCATGCTCACTACCAACAGGCCTTAGGATAAATTGGTTGGAAAGCTGGCTGCTGTGCTTGCTCACTAGTGACTTCCCTCCACTGGCTAACTGATAAAACTAGGACAGTGCAGGGAAGAAGTTTCAGCCCTACCTCTGGAAAGTATTGGATGGGGGAAGTGGGCAAATTCCTGGCCAGAACTAAGGCTACAGTAAGGTGAGCTGGTCTGATCCTCAAATTAATACTAGCTCCGGTGTTGGAAATCCAATTCCTCCCCGGCGCAGTGCTCCAACATGGCTGCGCCACAAAAAGAGCAGTAGATGTCTATTAGAATGAAGACTAAGCAACTTTTAGAAAGTGAAGATTTTTCCTTTATGGATACACTAAGTCTCCAATTTGGCAGATCAGGCCAAACCCCACATACTGCAGAACAGCTCTACAAAAGTTGTCAGCAAGTGATGTTCATCTTGATTTAGAAACAACACACTCCCACTGGGTACCATAAATCCAATTAAAAACATACATGTCTTCCAGCTGTTGAGTGCAGTGTACACCTTCATGAAACGAACTCAGGAAAGTGCTGGAATAGATTCATATATCTTTTTTTTTTCCTTATGGTCCAGATTACTCTTTTTTAATTCTATGACTCAACAGCCAACAGCTTCCAGCAAGTACTCAGAATTCTGAATACAAGCACTGTTGAACAGAACTAAGCATCATTATTTTGGGTTCCTGGTTTGATGAAGCAGAAAGTAATGCAAACAGGATAACATGTATTCACCACTTACGCTCATGTGCTCTAGGAATGGCGGCACTCTACAGTTCAGGGAAATTCATGGCACAATTCCATATGTTGCCTTTCACGGACTCTACAACTGCTGGTGAAAAATGCTGCAGGACAAAAAATCCCCCCCCCCCATTAAGATATATCGACATCATATAGTTATTTTGCTTTTATGTCTTTCAAGGTCTTGAGGAGGATCTGAATCCTCCTCAAGGATCTGGATAGGAAAAAGGAAAGCTGGATCAGCCATCTTTCCCTGCCTTGATTCTTTGCTTTTCTTTGGCTAAAGGAGTGAAGTTCAGAGAATGTTATTGTTTAGCATACCAAAACAGCTCAGGTAGCATTTACACGCACACTGCAGCACACTCTTGCAACTCATTTTACAAGAGCATTCCTATGACTGATGTTTGATTGCTCAAACATTCAGTGAATACAGGCACAAAGGCAGCATGAATAAAGGAGAAAGTCAACCCAACTGAAGAAAAAAAAAAGGCTAATATTTACAAAATATGCCTTCGGAGTGGCTTTGCTCAGCTGGCACTGAAAAGTTGCTGAGCGATGCGATATGCTCTCCAGAATCTTGTTTTCATTTGCCCACTTCAAGATGGCATTTTACTGCTGGCACTGAAAAGCCTGGCCTGTGTCCCGTGGCTCTTCTGCTGCCTGCAGCTGCCCATACCTAATGACTCGCCATGCAACATTGTCTAAACCTTGCAGGACTGGAAAGGTATTTTATTTCACTGGGGTCAGCCGATAAAGTGTTTTCTGTTCTTAACTGTGTTTTTTTGAATTGATTCTGCAGGCCAATCGGATTACATTTAGGACTAGAGAATACAGGTTTCTCAGGCAAGCATCTGCGAAACAAAAGACTGACTACGTGACCGCTGACTTCTCCCTTCTTTGCCACATCCCACTCTTGCTATTGCATTTTGACCTCCCTGCCCCATTTCTATTATTTCTGAGGGGGATTATATCTGATGAGGACAACGGCGTGGAGGAGCCACACTGCACTATGCAGCAGGCGGGCTGCCTGCAGAGCCGCAGTGCAGGCTGGCCTCAAGTGAACCCCCCTCTCTGCTAGCCCACGTCAGCTCGGATGGCAGCTCTATGCTCCCATTAGCTCCTTTGCTGCCTGCCCCCTCCCGCCCCCCGCTGCTTCCCAAGGGGCTCTTGGCAAGGTGGCTAGAAACACCAGGAGCTGAGTCTTTAATGGTAAGATGGGTGCACGTGGTGGCAAGTTGCCACAGGACCATGCCAGAGGCCATCACATAGCTTGGTCTCAGCCCTGTGCCCAGTCATGCGCTAACCCCCAAACTGCACCTGGGCTTCGCTGGCATGATGCAAACCATATTAACACTCAAGCACATGCCCTCACATGGTTAAATTAACTTAGTCTTAATGTTCCCTATGATCCCTCCCAAGTGGGCCGGGAGGGTACACAAAACAGCAAAGCTCAATCCCTTTTTCGTGCAATACTTGCATATTGTCTTTTGCTCTCACCTCAGCTTCTTCAGTGGTTGTCCAGGCTATGTTTGGATAGGCATAGTTCTCAGTGACACATGGCGCTGGCTTCCCATCACCTCTTGGTCAGCCCTGTCCATGTAGATACTAAGGTTATTGGTGGATGGTCCAGCTGTGTGCAGGGGGCCCAGAATAGGCCTTTGCTTAGTGGTGGAAATTGGGTGGGATCACACGCAATGGCAGGTTCCTTTGGCCTCAAAGTCCAAAGTGTTCTGAAGACCTGCTCCCTTTCAACTCCACTTCTCGCACTGACACGTGGTCCCACAGGCTGCGCCCGTGACCACGCTCTCAGCAAACCACCCTGCATTGCACTCTCTGCAGCTTCCCCCACTTTCCCCACACTGGGGCTAAAGCCCTTACGAGGCATTTATGAGCTGCAACATCTAATCATTGACTCTTGAATGGCATTTGCTTCTTAACACTTTGTGAGGCCAAGTCTCATCCCTTTGGCTCCTGTTAGGGAAATCAAACCATCAGTCTACTTCTGATAGTGGCGTGTCAGTAATTTGTCTCTATTCAGACTGTTCGCTACTGCAGCGACTGTGGATTCTCGAGTGCCAGTGATCAGGAACAGCAAATTTTACCTACAGAAACAGCAGATCTCAGAGATACAAAACAGTATTCCATACTGAACAGTGAGTTTGGGAAACTTCTGGGTGAGAAAAAAGTTAAGAAGTTCCTTACCAGTGGCTAGGAAGGGAGGTGTTACGGATGCGAGGACAAGAGATGTCTGCACCTAGAGTACATCCGTGCTGCAGATGTGAAAGGCACTCTAAAAGCCCTTCAACTGATTGCTCTAGCTCTCAGCTGTGAGCCTGCTTTTCTATAGCCACAAGGATCAGCTTCATTTGCCTGCGTGTTTCTGACCACATGCCGCATGCCTCTGGTTTTTCTTTCTGTTAGAAGCGAGAGGCTTTACAGAGGTGGCACAATATGAAAATGGGAAGTTCTTCACCATTTGATTTGTGGTATCGCACATCTTTGCAATTGCATTAAAAGATATTTATATTACAAATGTTTGCACTGACAGCAATCCCAAGCTTCTCCCTTCAAAAACACTCCCAAAGTGATAAAACCTTCCAATAAACTCAAACTGAATGGAGTTAACTCGATATTACACACTTATAAATTCAATCTGTTTTATTCCAAATATCACATAAATTAAATACATTTCCCATGAATATTGCAAATATACATGAAATGAACATTGCAATTTTTAAAAAAAGGTTTGGCTTTGCTTATGCAACAAGAAGTGCCAAATGTGGTTAGAACATGAACTTCTGTATTTACTAGATAAAAAAAGGTGCAGATTAATAATTTATATTTATACATATGTACACACTCCATTTCATAACTAGCTTTAAAACAGTAAAAAATGGTTTCAAGTTTATCTACATTAAACATACTCATTTAAATCTGGTCAGAAGCCCCAGACAAGAGTTGATACAATCATTTCACAACTGGAAAATTAAGGCGCTACCAAAATACCAGTTCCACTAGTGTAAAATGTAATAGAATAGAGAGTGTACAGCTTTCTATTTATCAATTTAAAAGTGGACTGGAGAACAAGGAAAAAGGAGCAGTAAGAAACATGACAAGATCAACAGGTTAGAAGTACAAAGAGATCTCGATGACTATCAAATGAACATATTAAAATACAGTAGATAAAAGGCCTCAGTGGCAAACAATTAGTATGCTTCTGAAAGACAAAAAAAAGGTTAAAATATATATAATTTTGTAGCTTGAAGCTTTACAGGTGAACAACAGGTGTAGAGGTAGAGGGATTTTTTTTCAGGAGGCCTCTTTATGATGTATAAAGAAGGGCCACATTCACCACAGTGAAGAGACTCATCATATATCCCAGCATCCTTGCTTGGACAGCAAGCAAGAAAAGTGTAATGAGTTAGAAAGGCAACAAATTCTGTCTATCTCTTCCAGGAGCTCAGCTCCATGCTTCCACATGTACCTTGGTGACAAGTTACACAAAAGCGCAGAACGGCTGTAACGTCGGTATTTCCTCCAGCCAAAAGAGAAATGAGATAGATAACTTTTCCAATGAGGTACTACTGGATGCTGTAGCGATTACACGGCAGATATAATTTGGTAGCAATGAAACTGGTACTCTCCCTTAGAAAGCAAGTACCACCAAGTAGTGGTGATTGTTTTTATTAAAGCTTTTCTATTTGATCAGCATTCAATGTTTTGGAAGAAATGTCAGCTTTGGGCTGCTAATCTGTTATTTGCATCCACACACAGACAATTCCTAAGTTGCATCATTTATCCAAAACATCAGTCACTGAAATATTCAAAAACTGTTTTAAACCTTTACTAAAAAAAATCCCTCTACAGTTCAGGTTTCTCTTCAAAAAATACCACTCCATTAACTATGCAGGCCTTCATAAAGATAACAATGTCACTTTCCATGTAAAATGTCTCTTTATACATTACAGAACCGCAATAAAGAACTTCCATTCTGTAGGGTTTCCTCTTAGAAGTACCTCAATAGTAGATACCTTGAAAAATCACTTTTGCAAAGAAAAATATTCACATTAGTTACTGAGGCAAAGCCAAGAAGACACTAACTAGCACCTTGATTTTTTTTTTTTTTCCTTAAATGCACTCCTATATGTAAAATTAAGCACATGTAAGATCAGGGACCAGCAATATACAAATACCATCAGTGTCCCTTTGCAGCCAAACTATTAATACTAATACTCAAAACTAGGCCAGACACTTGAAGGAGGGGAGAATGAGATGAGAATCTAGAAGAAATACATAGCACAGAAAGCAATGAGAAGAATGGGCAGTTGAACAGAAAGGATTGCAAGATCTACTACAGTCCATTTTCTGGTCTGAGACTTAGTTTGCCAAACCATCCTTTGGTAGCTGAGTTGATAGTGGGCTTATGAACCACTGACTTCTGACATCTCCTCCCCCATCTACAGAACAATCCTCTAGAAATTCCCACTGACTTTCTCTCCATCATCTTTGAATCCTGGAGGAAATGTTTTCAGCTTCTTTTTTTAGTATTTTGGTGATGGTAGCAAAACTTGCAGAAGGCTACTGTAGAGGTTAGTTATTATATCATTGGTTGTAAATTACACACTTCACAATTCAGAGAACATACTTACAAATTATTTAAATAGAAAAGGCGTGTTCAAGGTAGAGGCAGTTACAGTACATTCAGGGTATGTTACAGAAACCATTTGTGGTAGCCATTTGCTGAAAGGAAAAAAACTCAGTATTTTTGTTTCCCAGACCACACAGGTTATAACTACAATACCCAAAGAGAGCAGGTAATATATCTTAATTGCTGCATTTTAATGCAGTCTTCTTCCAGAACTCATGTGCAAATTGAAAACAAAAACAAAATACATCTTCATTGACAAATAAGGACAAATGAACAAAAAAAAAAAGAAACCAGGCACTTTGACCATGTAGGTAAACAGCCATTTCATCTTATCAGACTTCTGCACACGAACAAGTCTTCAAATTGGCTTATGCTTGCAGCACACTGAGATTCAAGTCAACTTTTTTCCTGTTGGTAGTATCAATTCTACTTGTAGGAAACTATGCCAATTGAATTGGTAGCACTGTTAGTTATTTCACTGGCAATTTAAACAAAAGTTGATCATTTGACTGACAAGCAACCAATTTAATAGCTATCAAAGTTAGAGAAAAACAAAATATATATAAAAAAATCAAAAACATAAATGAAGTTTAACACCTGACTTAAGTTTGCATTGAGACTTGCCTTTTAGTGTTCGGTTTGTGCCTCTTCTCACGGTGTTATTGGGACTGATTTCCACCACATATAGCAACTGGTACTAAACTACAATACTTTTGGTTTGAAATATGTTCTAACAGAGGCCATTCCAAGGTAACATTATGTCGGCATGGCACTGCAGACAAGATGGGAGACGAAGCTTCCCCAGGTTTTATCCCAGTCAGTTCCTCTTGCAGGACACGCGTGCAAAGAGAACCACAGCATGCCTTCCTAGTACTTGGAATGAAATCATTTCACAGCAGCGTTTACCATACTGTAGGGAGCTGGTTTGATTTGAATTTAGTGATAAGACCAGCTAGGATTACTTTGATTTTTTTTTTTAAATAAACCAAAGTACTACTCTTCAAACATTTTGTACATACTCAATCCGTTACAACACATAAATCACAACACAAGGGATTACCTAAGGCTACCAAATAGGACACTTATTCAGTAGCTATTATTCTTTCAGATAAACATCTTCAGATGCCTTGACCACAAATGGCTTTTTTTTTTCCTCACAGACTGATTTTTCTTGAAAAAGAGAGATGTGGGTGTACAACAGACTGCCTACCAATTCACTAACAGAGCGTACTGCTCTTTATAGTCTTCATGCGTTCTTCTACTGCGGACGCGTTACTCCTCTTCTACTGACCACCTTCAAGAAAGTCTAAGAAACAACTCTTCAGTCCACCGTCCAGATTCCTTTTCCTACTAAGTGGAAATCCAATTCGCACGTTGGCCAGTGGTGCTGTTCTAGTACGTAACTCTCTCACAGGCTAGAAACATCAACTCTATTATAGCACTTTGAAGCAATTATCCACATCTACCAGCTACGTTCTAACTGCAGCACAGCTTTGCAGAGGCTCAGATTTCACCAGGACAACAGGATAGAGTGCAAAGTTTGGTGAATCCCCAGAATAACAAACCGATGTAATGGATGGATGCTGGACACAGTCAGAAAGGGCTGTTCATTTTTGAAAGATGCCTTTAAAAAAAAAAAAAACCTCCCCCTCCACCCCCCAAACAACCTATCATGAGATGTTGTCAGTGCCCGCTCACAACTGAAGTCCATGTTATCTGGGTCTTTTGCGAGTCACAAATATCAACACGCGTCTGATGGCAATAAGACGATCTTTAAGGGAAGTCATAGCCAGTATAGCCAGCTGAGCTCTGTTTTCCAGTGGCAAAACTGCCAAGAGCCACCAGTACCAGGCAGGACCACTGGGGTTGCTCTGAAAAAGGATGGAGAGACATGCAATAATGTATTCACCAACACTGTCCCATGAAGAACACCACCTTCCTGCCCCCCTTCTACTTCTGTGTGGTAAGAAAGCTACCATAAAACAGTTCATGTAGTGACTAAAAATTTAATTTCAGATGCTCTGCTTGTCTACTTGCCCCATTAAGGATACTTCTTCAAATGCTGATTTAGACTGATATATGGTAACTGTTTACTACACTCCATGCTAATAGACCAAAACCGGGTAAAGTAAGACGAGTTTAGGATGTAGGAAAACACAACAAAAGCCTCTGTCAGAAAACAGTCTTGTGGAAAAACTTAACATCTAGGACAAAGATGCACATGTGGGAAGCTTTTACCTGTGGCTCTGGTTCTTTTCCTGGCATGGACCCAAAATGATTGAGAATTTGCACTTTCATATTGTCTTTAAGAGAAGTAAACCAGGCAACGGCTTGATCATAAACTGAATCATGAAGGCGGACAAGTTCTTCATATTCTGGTCCTTCAACCTTATTGTTAAAAGAAGGGAGAGGGAACAAAACAGGTTTGATACTATAAGCTTCCCCAGAAGCAAGTGAAGCACAATAATGCAGTGACAGCTGCTGTTCAAATGTCCTTATCTAAGCAAACTGCACTCAAGTCTCAGATTTCACACCTGCGATGGTGAATTCTTTTTACCCTCCCCTACAAGCCATGTTCTGAAATGACATTTCTTAGAGCAGTTACTGTTTTATAAATATCCATTCTTAAATGTCGGCACAACAGAAGAACCTGCTTTCTCATTCCAGGACATCATAAACCCATATACTCGAGTCCCTGTCACAAAAGAACCTCTGAACATTGTTAAATCGTCTTGTAAAATAAAAGGAATTCTACAGTCAGCAAGCAAAATGATAGGGATTCTACTGCATTCCGAAATCAACACGTTTTATAGAAGTGTTAAGGCCATGGTAAAACAGCCAGGGAGAAGGTGAAGGAGGGCAGGCGCAGCAGCAGGCAGCAAGCAGGTAAAAGTGGATGATTTCTCAATATCAGGAACAGCCATAAAAAAGGCCCTCACTGAGACAAAAAGTGTTTTAGTTGCACAGGCCTGACTATTTAGTCATTAGGGGAAAGAAAAAAGCATAAGCAAAAAAAAAAAAAACCCTAGGGAAAAAACCCACTGCAAATCATTATTTTTTTTTTTAGCTGTGCACAACAATGGCGGGATTCATCTACGCTACTCAGGCACATCTGAGCTAGCTCTTCCGGATGCCCTTCACAGTTGAGGAGAAACAGCTCTAGAGGGCAATCAATCTCATCTTAAGGTAGGTATCTAAGACAGAGCAGATAAACAGGCAGCTCCGGACTCAAGACTTCTCATCATCGAATATAACAGGAATGCAGGGTGATGAACTCAGACTTCAGCCTCTCAAGTGAGACAAAGTAAATCTCACTCTAATTATAAAGAGCTGGGTCTCTGGCAACATCTACAAAACAATGCCTTGACGCCTATGTTCCACCATCCTTCACTGGGAATTTAAACAGGGCAGGAGCAGTAACTCTGAATAGATCACGTACTTTGACCACCTGTGGGGGGAAGCATCTCCGCAGGACCTGCCTTACCTGCTCTGACGAACAATTGCATCGCCCCGCACAAGCTGAAAGAGCCCTACTAGAACTCTACAGACTTGCATATCCACTATGAAAGCGCACTTAAGAGCCATGTGACCCGAATGGACCTCACCAGCTGGCAGGAGATCACTACTAAGCTCAATGTTAAGAGGTATCAACGTTATGCTCTGGAGATGATCCAGGAAGTCATAATTAAGCACAGCCAAAAATTCACATTTTGGCCAAAAACCACCAGAAGCACCTCACCTGCAGCAGATTTCACAAGAGGACTTGCTGTTTTTAAAAACAACTCCCAGCCCTGCAATTCTCTGTTCTTAGCCAGCTTTGATGGATGCTGGTGCAGGCACATTGTAACCACATGTCACTGAGATCTCTTTTTAAGAACGGAAACCCACATTTATTTGAGGAGCTGTTCTGTAAACCGGAGTTGCAAGGTTACATGAAGCTTGCAAAAGCTAGAAACAGATATTCTGTACTCAGTGAAAGAAGAGACTAGCGAGTTCTGTAATAACAGAAACATGTTCTCAGAAGGGTTGCAAGTTCATATCAGTTTTAAAATGTTACTTTGACCTCATCTACACATCATGACAGATCACATCATCCAAGTCTCAGAAGCTACTTTGAGATTCACGATGGGACTGCAACACTTCAGGTAGAGATAATTATAAGGATAGAAACAAAGAAAGGGAAGTAATAAGTAAGAGGCAGACTAAATAAGTTCATGGTTCCCAAAATAGATCTAAAGTTTTTATAATGACATTGGTTTAAAAATAATGTACAGCTAACTTGAAATGCAACAAGGAAAAGGCCATTTCAGTGAATCCAGCAATACATGGGTATGAATAACTTTGCACCATAGATCACCTTTTTATCTTCAAGATATTCGATGTTTGCTGTGTTATATCCATCTCGCTGGCCATGGCTTAAGACCCTAAAACGACGGACACCAACTGTATCAACAACTGAGCGCCCATCAGGAAAAAACTTTACGTCCCTGATCTCTAATATACAGCCATGATCTGCAAATCTGAAATGACAGAAGGGCATAAAAGTGGAAGTCATCAACAAGTGTTTATACAAATTAGGACAAACACTGGGCCTAATTCACCACTTTTTATTCGAAAGAGGATCCTTGCTTTGGTGACAACACATTTCTGCTTATCCACATAAGCCACACAACCCCCACCCTTTCTGCCTTCCCGCAAAGGTCCAGGGCAGCAACACTGTCAGCTTGTAAGTATTTGGGGGAGGTAAAGAAGGGACAGGGAACTAAATGGAACATGTTTCATTCTGGGAGTCGCCACCTACTAGTGGCAATTTCACCTGGTTTGCAAAGAAAACTAGATAGGTGAAGGTACTATAAGGAAGTCAAGAAATGGAGGAACAAGTGCAGGGCTGAAGGGCTAGAACAATCCAAGGCTACCGCCCTGCTCTAAGGTGTTAGCAGAGGATTAGAGGCTCTAGAAGGAAAAGGTAATTTCACAGCAAGAGTCTTCTTGCATTTATATTCTCTAAGTTAAAAAAAAAAAAACCTGTTAGTAGAACCATGTCTATTTGTATCTGTTTTATTTAAAGAGGTCACAGGTTTTAATCATGTCCAGAAAACAAGCATGCAAAAAGTCTTTATTTAAATTATCAGTTTTAATCTATCCTGCACTGTGCTTTAGTTACTTCATTAAAAAGGTTGATCACACAATGATTCTTCACCATGATATGTTGATCTGCAAGTCCTTGCAGCTTCCTACCTCAGCTTACTGCTTATTGCTAACCAGAAGAATGTGCTGTATCAAGTCTCATCTCAAGATAACAAATCCCTACTGCGCCTGATAGATGTTACATCAGGGGAATACTTGTTATACTAGGGCTTGTCAGTGTGTTGCATCACAGGAATGAAAAAACAGCAACACCGCAGAGAAATGATTCCTGTTTCTACTTTATGAGAAATCACGCTTTTAATGGGAAAAAAAAGCTGACCACTGTGAATAACTGTTCTCTCCCTGTCATTACACTAAACATGAATTGAGGAAGAGCAAGCAGAGCACAGCTGCATAAAACTAAGTGCTGTGTGTTCTACCAGTGGGATTATGATGAATGAGTTTATTACAGTGAAATTAGGCTAAACACTATTTAAACAGGTACCTAACTCCATTTTTTAAATTAAGGATATTAGGGACATTCACAGAGTTTAAAAGTTAGACCAGAAATAAAGGTGATGAACGACTTTTTGTCTTTCTTTGGGAAGTTACTTTTGAGTAGAAAGTAACTTCAACCATAAAGAGACAAGAAAATACCTAGAATTGGGTATACACTGACATATACTAAAAGTTTATAACCAACTCCCCTCCCCCCAATTAAATTTAAAACAGAGAACTAAAACAGAAGAAGGTAGTGAACTGAATGTTCTGTCACCATATTCTTCAAAGGAGGTATGAAACTCAGCCTCCCATGCCTACATCGTATTAGATGAGGCAAAGTAAGCTTCCCTACTTTTGCTATTCCCAGATGATTCTGCAATTTTGAATCAACAAGAGAATCTCTTTACTTGTACAAGAGGCTACAACAGCCTACCAGGTGCTTACAGATGAGAGCTTCCTGCATTTCAGTGGTTTAAGTATAAGATACCATGCTTAAAACGTTTAATTATTTTAATAGCTCAAAACAGACAGTACATATAAAAATCTAACCCTATCAGTTGCATTTTAAAATATCCTATACGATGTTATCGAATACGTCAATTATTGTGTTTTCGGTATTGTCAGAAATCCGCTGTGGGTGCACCAACAACAGCAGGCTGGCAGATTCTAAAGGACATGAGGTACAGCCAGAGGAGACTGGAAGTTGTAGCATCTCCTACCTTCTTAATGCCACAATTACCCTCTGATCTGTGAGAAAAAAACAAGAAACAAACTGGGCATATCAACAAGGAAAGGCTACCAAAGCCTGGTCTGACTCCCCTGCTCTCAGCTCCGGTCATGATCCCCTATAAGAAGGCTGCTCCTGAGGACTAATGTGTCCTCAAAACTTCCCACACTCGTAGCCTACAGCCTATATTACTCCAACATATCTTCTGAAGGCGGTAACTACCTATCACATCTCATGAAGTAGACTTCTCTTAAGATCTCATTTTTTTCCCACAAGCTTCTGCTTATCCTCTTCACTCAAAAAAAACTACTACATTATCTATGAAGGCTAAAAACTGAAGGTTTCACCTAGACTTTCAGCTACTGATTAGTATTTAGTCTCCACATAGGGAGCTGTTATCTGGAAAAACACCAGTGTCAGAAGTCACGAAAACGCATTTCATATAGGAAGACTCACTGAAGAAAGTGAACACAGCAGGAAAGATAAACACCAAAATTCAACATTAAGCAGCAAAACAGCCTTCTCAGCCAAGGATATATTTTGTCTCATTCAAGTGATACAGTCTATGCAGGAAAACTATGAAAGGCTTGGATTTTTTTTTTAACATAGCACACAGAAGAGCAACCTCAAACTGACTTAGTTAGCCTTCACTAGAAAAAGCAGGTTGAAAAGCTGTTTAACCACATACACAACTAAGTGCTATTTTTGGAGCCTGTAGTAGGAGGGTGAGTTGTACTCCTGCTATTCATCCAACAGGGGAGCAATAAAAATGAAGAGCTTTGTGTCGAAAGGAATGTTCAATACACAAAACTAAAAATCCACCAACTTCTGTACTGATTCATACAGGACTGGCAGGTTCCACAGTGATTTGGGGAGACAAATATATTCTGCTGTAGTACTCCACTAGCATCACAACGCTCTGCAATAAAGAACATTTTTAACTCATGTCCTTACCCTTTCAATTCATCAGCTAAGCACATGCCAAACTGCTTGGTACCAGTTTCCATGCATCTTCTTATCATTAGACGATAACGAGGTTCAAAGACGTGAAGTGGGCAAGGGATGGTAGGGAAGGCCATGGTACATACGAAGATGGGAACATCTTTATTCAAACTGCAAAACAGTGTTTAAAAAAAGTTCAGCTTTCTTCAGCGTACTGCTATATTAGCATAAACCTTTAACACAGCACTGATTCCCGTGGTGTGTTCCTTAGGCTCATTCTTTGTAAACACATATCTGGTTGTGGTTTACCATTTTCAAACGACAAACATACTTCAGGACTCTTCCTGTTAATATATTAAGGAAACAATCCTCTAATCTACTTTCATAGCAGAAAAGCCAGGAAATAATAGGCAGTTTCCCAAATGTGTGCATATACATACGTCTAGCTTAAATGCAGATGGTAGGATTTCAGCCATGATTTTTTACAGTAATATAATACCTAAGAACTAGCCGTGTTTAAAGCACGGTGATGGAGGATTTCAAAGTTCGGTAAAGCCCTTTGATTTTAAAGAAGCCAGCTAATACTCGTATTACTTTTTCAGCTTTAATTGCATGTTTTATTTTTCATTTTGATTGAGTTAGAGAGTAAGAGTCATACATCACTGACACTGCAATGAACCCTTGCACTTATCCTGACCTGAAGTGCAACCCATTCATATTTGAGCTTCTACTCCCACACAACTCCCATTATAACTTTGAAAGGTGATATTATTTCGATTGAAAGGAATAAACCAATTATCTTTATTTTAAGATATTGCTGTGTCTCTCCAACATCCAAGGATATTGTTTCTTGTTTATCTGCAGCAAACATGCCAAAAATATGAAACATCTGGCAGGTTCATTTACAAATTCATTTCATGCATTCTGTGCATTTCCATAAGCAAATGAAAAGTTTCTTCAGTAATTTGGATTACAAATACATTTCGGTAACAACTGTTGGCAATAAAAAGAGAGCTTACTTTGACAATTCCTTCATTTCTTCCTCATGAACTTTTTTCCTTTCAGACAACTCCTCTGGCAAGTAACGGATTATGAGTTCTTCTGTAAGGACGGTCTTTTTGTAAGTTCTGCTTGCCAGAAACTGCAAAGAAGAGTCAACCGTGAAGCCTGGTAACGAGAAGTCAGCTAATGTCTCTTGCTCCCAACCCATCCCCTTTTATAAGACAACACAGCACATTATCCCATGAGTGTACCGACTGATCTTCCTTCTCAGCCTTCAGGCATCAAAACTCCCACTTAAGGATATGTAATTCACTCTGACGACCATTACTTTTAACTTCAAGTCTTTCATTTGGCAGAGGCTGTGCTAACACCAAGGTAAAGCAGATCCTCCTCTCTTTTGCAAAAGATACATACATTCCTCTTATCTAGAGCTGCTAGGTTTCTGCTCCCCAAGAAATACTCACTGTACAAGACAGTCTACTTGGAACAAGTTTTGATCAAGGAACGACCATTCCTTGTTCATGGTTAGCAGAGATCCGAAGGACAGGTGGTAGGAACAGGACTATGTTTGGCACTCCTCAAGCCTGAGTCTGAAGTGATACTGGAATTCCGTACTACCAGCAAACCCCTCCTTTTCTTTAAGGAATGACAGAACATACTCTGGAGCAAATGAGGTCTGTGCACAGCTTGATGCTACGGGCACTACTATGTTGTTCTGCCATACGCAGAACAGATTAAAACCCCAGCACACTCGCTTTCACTAGAACACTGCTTCGTACTTTTTTTTAATTGGGGCAAGGATACACTTACTTCTGACAGCTTTTCTTTGCAGAGTGGACAATGGGGGTTATGGTCAAGGCAACGCTCGAGGCATTTGAGGCAAAACGTATGTCCACAGGGAGTGGTAACAGGTTCGTAGAACAACCTGAACAAGAAAACATGGAACAAAAAAAGCTAAGCTGCCAACATAAACAACACAGATTCCTAAATTGTGGAAATGAACGACTAAGCCTAGCTATCTCATCCTTTCCTCCTTTCATATAAATCATGGCTGACACTTTTATCTTAGAATGCAAAAAGGTTTTCTTCTTTTAAGTGACCCATAAAGTTAAAGCATAATGAAGAAATCTATCCAGTTTGTAAAGATTCTTTAGACGCCAGTTTCAGGAAAAAAAATATGAAGTCATCAGTTAGGCATTCCGTGGCCAGTTTCCCTTCCTAAACCATAAAACCTTTCATCAGAAGCTAAAAAGGCTTTCAGATCTTCATCCCACATCAATGTACTCGTACCTCATGCAGAGGGAACACTCAAAGTCGGAAGCATCCACAAGGGTTGTTGGTATCTCACTCGAAGTGATGGCAGGGTTTTCAGGTAAAACATCTGCATCTAAGTAAGTAAAGAAGAGAGTTATATAAAATGTTTGAACAGTACTGCAATTTCAAATAGTGCTTAGGTTGTTTTTCCATAAAGAACCTCATTTGTCGTTTGTCCTGAGCTTTGTTTAACAATAAACACAGTTTCCATCTAAGTTTTAGAGACTTTCTGGCAGGAGATCTTTTTGGAGAGCAGAGGAAGATGTCCATGGCCAGAGAAAGCATTTTAGAGATGAATACCCATGATTTTCTTCTCCAAAAATGGTTGTTGTTTTTTTAAGTCTAGTTTTTAAAATGCTCTGCTATTGCTTTCCCACCACCATCGCCACTCCCACATCAGCCAGGCCAGATGTTTTTAAGTATGTTAAGTCCAGAATTTAATTTGTTTATGCACATTTAAAGTATTTCAGCACTGTTTGTTATAGATTTTCTCAGTAGGGGTAATTTTTCTCACAAGTATAAAAAGGGCTTATACTCTTCTAGACTAGCCTGCTGTGGAAATCCCACGTTTCAGACAGCTTAAAGTTTAAGGACTACTGGAGCCAAATTAGCTAATACTAATTTCACCAGCTCAGCACTCTGCAAATGCAGAAACAAAACACTTAAAATTTTGCTCATTCTGTTTTTGTGTCATGTACTGCTGTAGTTAACACGCTTATGAGTATGGGCCATAATCTTCATAGCAGTATTTACACTCAAGAGTTACGAGCTTAAAATTCTGATGACGTTTGTACAAGCAGATTCTACAACTGCCTTTATGATCTGCATCTTTATTGTCCAGCGAGGGTTGCAAAAGAACCATGATATCACCTCCACGTCCCTTCTAGCATCCATTTCACTGACCATTTAAAAAAAAAAAAAAAGTTCAGCTTTTTGTGTTAAGTTAAAACATGAGGATGTTTTGTTAAAGGATAACTTATGCTCAGCATCTGGCTTATCTCAAGTACAGGTTAAGATAGGGGAGAGGGCAGCGGTGTGGCGTGGCCTACAAAGAAAAGAGTTATCTTTAACCTACATCTTGCACGTTAGCCTTTAGTAATAGCAAGAACCTAGCTGTGTTCTTCCACAAATAGTAACACGGCATCAGGATCTAGCGCAGACCAGAAATTCATGGTTATGGGTAAAACACGATCTCTGGCCTTTACTGTGAAGATAGAGGAGGGTCAGATTTCACAATCTATTTACTGAGCATGCCGTTCACAGGCAAGAACAGGATTTTTCCCTTCACAGCAACCTGATCAGAAACTGACCATAAACTGGTAATTTGTGGAGGTGGCAGATAAACAGCAGCACGCCAAGACCTGTAACATTTCAAGGCAAAATCAGATTTGTCAAGGAAGTACTTTTTTTTTCTTTTATGGTAAAAAATGCATGCTAATATAATGGCATTTTAAAAGCCTCTTTTAACCAATTATTTCACTACTCGTGCAATATACTGCCTTCAGCATTTTTCTCCCAGAGCACTGAAAACACTTTAGAGGTCTTTGTTAGAAGCTTGAGAAGCACAGCAATTGTAAGCACAGCTATCAAGTGACAGAACGGGTGGGCTTACAACCCTTCAAAAGGCTTCTTTGTTTGCTTGGAAAAATTAATGTAAAATTGCATGTGACTGTTTCTGATGCCAATTAAAGATTAGTTCCCCAGCTTATTGTACCTTTCCTTCGTATAGAAAGTCACTGAAGTTCAGTCATACCTCTGAGGGCTGGAAAATGGCAATGCCACCAGCAATACAAAGACTAAACTGTTAGAGGATTATATATTAGAAATGGTCTTTTTGAGAAAAATACAGTGTTCACTGAGTGAACTGAGACTGCTGTGGAATAACGTAAATAGCATTTGTACTTAAATGGCTTTAGCATCTTTCGAATCTACATCGTCCATAACGACGGAAGTGGCTAACTGAGTAAAGCTTTTACAGCAGAAACAGACACACTAGGCAACAGAATATTCCAGTCCCTCAATCCGTATGAGAAATGTTTCATTTACACCTATAAAAAGGGAGCAGAATAAAGTAGTTTATCATTTTTGAGTATGTGCAAAATAAGTGACCTTTCTAAACCACACCACAAACCTTTTTTAGGAATCTTATTAGGGACATCCAAGCTTTGTAAATCCCTCATATCACTGGACAGCTTTCTTTTTAAGCCAACCCCAGGTAAACTGGAGAGAATAGCTCCCAAAGACTTCTTGTTGTCTTCAAAATAGAGTACGTGATGGGAAACAGAAGAATCAGTGCTTCTAAATACATCAGATTCTTGGGACGGGGTTTTTGTTAACCTGAACACAGTATCCTAGAAAAAAATTAAGAACAGTTACACAGAACGTGAGACCATCTTGGTTTTTTTCTGCTGTACACATCAGCAATACATCAATGTTGCTATAATAAGTTTAGAAAGGGAAAAAGGTCTATATCAGACAGGGCACTCTCAAGTTGCACGAGACAGACAGGGACGTTTCTCTCCCTACAGATCCCTTCTCTAGAAATTCTGTTCCCATCATACTAACATTCACAACACACAAAGTGCACAGAGAGAGGAAAAAAAAAAAGCACACTTAATGAACCCCCACAGGAAGGCATCCATTTGTTTTCTGCAGAAAGAGTTTCATTCTCTTATTTTTATGAAGAAATACATCCCATTAAGACATCCAACAAGAACTGGAGAAAATAGGCTCACCGTGAAATAAAATGCCTACATGAGTGTAGACAAAGACAACGTCACAGAGATCAGACACAGATCCTTGCGTTACTTTTGGTATTTGCACGTCGAGTGCTTTTTACTTTACCTTTGAGGACCCAGCAATAGAGCTATCTTCAGCAGCTGACTGTGTGTTTATGCTACTCAAAAATGCAGGTTTCAATCTTGTATAGGATGTTCGACTAGAGAAAGGTGCTGTTAGACTATCATGCACATTTTCAAAGGCTGGGAAAAACATCTCACACATTATCTAGTTAATTAAGAGAGAAAAGAAGAAGAATTAAGACATGGATCTTTACGTTTGCATGAACACAGATGTCACAAATGCTAAGAGACTTGCAACAACTAGGACATCCTGCATTCCCCAGTGCTCATAAGAAACCTGTATGGCAATCCTCACGACAACTGTAGAGACATCCCAAGGTCATCTTCTTTCCAGGAACTGAGCATCTCCCTCCCTCCCCGAAGGCCTCTGCTCTCCATGAGCAGGGTGACTGTTGCCTTTCTCCTGCTTCCATCTCTCTCCTCTCTGAACCTCAGATCCCTACCTCCAGAAGTCTTTAGATCATGCTTTCCTATCGAAACTGGTTAATACAGAGGCATTTCAGTTCTCATGATCTGCATCCAGTAAGGCTTTTCTCTACCCTCAAGCACATTTAATCCATAGCTAAAAGTTGTGTAGAGCCTGTTCCCCTTCCCACCAGTCCCGATCAGGCACCTTGATGAATCCCCAGTTCTTTTTCAAAAATCTGCCTGTATGGACCTAAGAGTAGACCTGTTTATGGCAGCTTAGCAATAAGTGAATCAAATGCAAGAGGCCTCTCCCATGCCATAATACTAATAACGTTCATCAACTTCAATTCAAACAAATTACCATTTGGCTGTTAACAACTATTACCTGAAACGACAAGAATTTCACTTAGCTGCAGCAATAAGACCAGCGTGATGGCCGAGAAGCAGCCAATAAATATATTCTATACCTTTTGGGCTTCTTTCTTCATCGAGCTCCATTCAGGATTTAAGGCAACACAGTAGAGAAACTCCTTCAATGCTTCCTCAGTCCTTTCCAATCCAGAAAGAGCTTTCGCTTTCACATAATGACCCTGTTCACATAGAGAAAACATACTACTGTAGAGATAATTTCTGAAGAGGCAGCAAGACACCAGCAAATAGACTTCTTGAAGTTTGCTCCATTCTGCACATGAGGAATAGCCAGCATTGCAGATTAAGGTTTTGCTTTTTGCTTGTCATTACTGACCACGACCTGTCAGTTCTATGATATCACAGTTACTACATTTCCGATGCTGTTTTGGTATCATCCTCTTTGATTTGTGTGACTTGGGGAAAGTCTTTCCCTTTTGCTGAAAAAAGTGCCATTGAGAACCTGCTGCTCTTCCTCTCTCTTCCTCTGCCTCAGAGGCTGGCCACTGCAAGAAGGGGCCAAAGGTGTCGCATCATACCCAGCCAAAGACACTGCTCCTTTCCTCAGAGAGTGACTAGACAGAGAATGCGGAAAGGTATTTGTTTCCTTGGGGCCTCAGAATACTGCACCTTGATATCCAGGAGAACCATTCCACATACCAAGGCAATTTTGACAGCAATACAACTACTCAGGAAAGACAGGGAAGACTGGAGATGGCAAGTGAGAGAGCAGAAGATTTCATGTTTAGGACACTCACTTCTGCTGGCTGCCTTGTCAGGACAGAGATGATGTGTGACTGACTTTACTTGGCTGGAAAAGACCAACATATAATGAATTTAGGAACTTACTAGTGCTCAGCTAGAAATTTTTTAGCCCCTCCCACCTATCCCAAGTACTAAAGTAACACGCCCATGGACAAAAGGTAAGGTGGTCAGCCTGAGGACAAGTCCTACTTTACTTGTTTCTGGCAACAGAGGAACGTCTCACTTCCAAATTTCCCTGTGGACGTCGAATTTGTGGCTCAAATCTAGTTATGGAAATTACTGCCTTAAAGATAGAGAAAAATTTAAAGCGTAGTTAAATATTTGCCTACTGCTCACTAGACAGAACTGTGTTCTGCAAACTCAAGTCCACCTCTGATCTACAGGATTATCTTTAGGCTATGCTGAAAGAACAACTCCTTTAGCTAGTGGTCAGGTAAGCACAGACACGTTTTCTATTCTTCATGCTAACGTCAAAAGATCTGGTTTCACAGAATCTTCCCAAAGAGGTACCTCAGTCTTTCAGTACAGCCATTCAAACTGATTCAATGCCATTTAAGATCTTTCCCTCTCTACTGTCAGGAAGACTTGTATCAAAACAGTGAGCACTGCCTAGGACAAGTTAATTCATATATGTCATTTGATGGACTAAACAAGAAGTCTTGATACACAGCAATCTCTCAAGCTGAGCACTTTCTCTAAAACAGAGTAGAGAAGAAGCCTATTTATTCCAGTGACTAGAAAGCATAAGATCTCCTAATAGGTGTTTGGGATTGAGGAGTACTGTGAGAACTGTATTTGGCTCCAAAGCCCTGTGACTTCTGGGAACCTGGATATGGTCAACACGCTGGAGATACCAAGATCCCTATATGGTTTTTTTTCTGAATACAGTAAGAAGAGAGCTACTACCAGTTATTGGTCTTTCTATTTTGACAACTGCACAGCCTTTGTAAAATCCTCTTCGGGAACTCCACACAAGTCAGACATCACTTGTAAGATAACTCCAATGCACTGGAGAGGCTGCAAGGTTGTTTGCCATCTTCCTTCAGGGACCACGAGAGCAATTACCTTATCCAACTGTAAGTCACAAAGCGAATAATGATCTCCCACTCTCCCTTCTGTGGGAGAAATATCTAAAGATTTAACTCTAGAAATTAGGCCCAGAAACTAGAGGCCTTTATGCTTAAGGGACTATCACTTCCAACTTCTCCCTGTCCAATGTTCACACTGCCTTGACAAGCATCAGACTGAAGGGTAAGATCTAGCCAGGACCTTGTGCAGCTTTAGGGAAAGCATCTGTTTCTATTTCTCACACGAAAAGTACAACTGCAAACTTCTCCCTACCTCAGAGAGTCCAAGAATAGGGTTGAAAAGAACAGACTTGTCTATTGCTCTAATTTCTACAATGGACCTGCAGAACGAATCAAGCTTTACTAGCTCAGCGAGCCACCAAGTCTGAGTTAGCAATAAGCCAAAAGGTTTTGGTAGGGGATGCTACGCTTACCTTTACTTGTTTTACTAGATAATGCATGTTTGAGCTAGATCTCTGCTGCTGGATGAAGTGTTGCAAGACACAAAACAAAGTGGTTGCCCAGAATTCCTGTATAGTATTAATTCTGGACTATCAAAGCATGCGTGGAAATTCTGACACATACATATACAAATGAAATATATCTATGATATTGCTGGTATGCCATGATGACAAATTTCATTTTAGATTAGCATTCTTCAGATGTGATTAAATTTTTATCTGCCTACAACTGACATTCATCATACTCCCATGGATTCAAGGCAAACAGACAAGACACTTCATGAAAACATTTGAACACGCTTAATTCATCTTTCCCTCTGTACGGAAACCCAATCAAAGCTGCCTAAGATGAATTCCTGACTTGATTAGTAGTGATCCTAGACAAAAAGGCAAATTTTAAATAGTGAAATTAGGGGTGGGGGAAGATTATGACCTGTCTTCAAATAAAAAAGGCTTTAATCGATGACAAAACAGTTTTTCCTCTGAAGACAAGTATCTAATTTTCTCCCAAGCTGGAAACACAGCACTAGCTGCAGCACCCCATGCTGAAGCAGGTTACTCACGAGGAGCTTACGTGGCATCTTCCTCGTCTTGTTAAGACTGAGAGCAAGTCAAGGTCTTCCACAAATTCGCACCCAGCTCCCCATGCCACCCTGTCTCCAGCCTGGGAGCTTTCTCTGGCCAAACCTGTGCTGCAGTGTTGCTGTTCATGGGGTGAGGGAGTCTGACACTGACTGGAGGTGTAAGCCTAGGTGGGGCATACTGTCAGCCACCCAGTCTGCCCTCAGGCAACAGGCAGTAACTATGGGCACGGTGTAGTTCTTTCTAACTTCTCTTTCCTAATGTTATTCCTGCTGCTTGCTTCAGAGTGCCCACGACCAGTACTCCTTGTAGCATCTCATTTCGTTAAGGAAAAAACCCTCAAACCCTCCTATGAATCACTAAGACACAGGTAGGAATTACATATATGAACTTTTGGTCTTAAAGGAAAAAAAACCCTGGAACAATTTGTGAAACTCAGAAAGACAAGGCAGCCAGGAGCTGGCTAAGCTGCTCACTGCCCTGGGGCACACCATCTCGAAAGGAGCTTCAGGACACAGGGCATACCCCTGCTGCCAGACCCCATCCCACTCCCAAGCTACAGCTCTAGCAGTAACAGATCGATGGGCATTAGCACGAAAAAATCATGTCACCGGCTGCAAACCACATGTGTCGGAGCTGCATTAGACCCTCCCTAACTTGTCATAGGAAGAACTTAAGCTTTTGCTAGACGTTTCTAGTCCTGATAACACCAAGATATTCTCCCAACAGTGACCTCGAAAGTTCTGTCCCTGCCACAAAAAGAAACAAGTAGTTTTTATCTTATTCTTTGCAACACGCAAGTACTGTACCGCAGGCCAGTGGGGTTTGTTTCGGCAGAGGACTTCTGCGTCATGGAGAGCTTGCTGGTAGTTTTTCATTGATGTACAGAGTTCTGCTCGCTGTGCTATTAATGAACACTTGCAAGGAGCTGGAAAACAAAGAGGTTACAAAGAACTCCATTAAAAGAAGTGCTACCCTGTAACCAAATATAGTAACCTATTTTTACCCAGAGTAACCTAAAAAGCACTGCTGCACAACAGCTCAATGGTTAAATTTATACTCTTCTGTAATGGAAATAAGACAATTCCTTCCTCCCTTCCTTAAAACATATTCCTCTCAGCCTGGAAGTAACCTCTATATTTTATCTATCAGGACAAATTTTGTTGATCTCATATCTGCATACACTCTCTGCATATACTGTTGATCTCTCATCTGCATATCTGATGTCACCTGCTCTTCCCCTCACCTTGCTCACAGGACACTAAGAAGAAAGTGAAAAAGCAGCCCTGAGTTTTTTCCTCCCTCCAGTGCTGGCTTTACTCAAAACAAAATGGCCTATGCAGGCATCCCCAACATAGGACCCAGCTAAACTACGTCCCAGAAGCCACTCATCAAGAGAAATGCACACAGTCTTCAAATTTCATATTCACTTGCCACCACAGTATCTTACCCTCCTCAGGCAAGCAAATCTCTTATGATCACTGACATTGTTAGCTTAGCATCCACTCATTCATGAAACACTTCCAGTTTATATGGGTTATAAACATTTCTAATACCATTATTCAGTCCTTTAGTAAGGTCTCTACAGTATACTTTAAGATGGAATTTTAGCTCCAGTATAAAATTTCGTAGAACTATAGAATAATTTAGGCCTATTCACGTTCAGCTTGTCACTCCCAGGCCCTTTCAGCAGAGCTGCTTTTAGTCAGTGGCTGGCCAGCCTGTCCTGGTGCACGGGGTTATTTTGTCCTAGGTGCAGGACTTACACTTTCCTTTCACAGAATCACAGACTCACAAAATGATTGAGGCTGGAAGGGACCTCTGGAGGTCATCTAGTCCAACCCCCCTGATCAAGCAGGGTCACCTAGAGCACATTGCCCAGGATTGTGTCCAGATAGCTTCTGAATATCTCCAGGGAAGGAGACTCTGCAACCTCTCTGGGCAACCTATTCCAGCGTTCAGTCACCCTCACAGGAAAGAAGTTTTTCCTCGTGTTCAGACAGACCTTCTTGTGTTTCAGTGTGTGCCCGTTGCCTTTTGTGCTGTCACTGGGCACCACGGAAAAGAGTCTGGCCCCATCCTCTTGACAACCTCCCTTCAGATGCTTATACACGTTGATCAGATCCCCCCCTCAGCCTTCTCTTCTCCAGGCTAAACAGGCCCAGCTCTCTCAGCCTTTCTTCATAGGAGAGATGCTCCAGTCCCCTCATCATCTTTGCAACCCTCTGCTGGACTCTCTCCAGTAGTGCCATGTCTCTCTTGTACTTCTGGAGCCCAGAA